AAATATTAGATTTATATGTTGAAAGAAAAATATGCATTATTTTGACGGATGGACAATCATACTGTATGCTAAAAAAGAACCCTCTATATCTTGTACTATTTATAAAATACTTACCACAGATACACTGAACATTTATTGCACATTTGCCCCACTTTACAGACTCCTCTTCTCTTAGGGTGGTGTGGAATGACCCCTTAAGCAGTGAGGCAGATTAGCATTTCAATCTCAGGGCACAATCTTTGATGTATGGTGGAGCAGAAAATAGCTTGAGCACCAGTCACATTAGTCTTTATACCTTTTATTGCTGAATTTAAAATTACTAGAGAGGGTTTAGGGGTGCAGAATACACAAATAGAGCACAAAAAGAGGACAGGTGTTCTGAAGTAGCCATAGTATTAGCAGTAGGCTTTTTAAGAGCAGCCTCTTGGTAATTACTGGCCCTGTGAGAGCAGACAGGCAGATCTATGACTATGTAAGAACAGTCAGCCTCTCTATAGTTGCAGTGGATCTCTCACTACTAAATCTGGCTCTTGGCCGTTTTACAGTATGGTCAAAGATACTTTGATCTGTGGGCAATGAATGCTTCTAACAATGTCCATACAGTAGCTTCTACCCAGCTCTTCGCTGACACTCTTAAGCAAGAGATCCTTTTATGTCTAGCTTCCTTCATATATGTACTTCAACTTAAAGGAGAACTATAAGGTCAGTGCTTTTCACTCACCTTATAGTTCTAGCCGACCTGTGATGAGACTGTCACAGGTCAGCTCAGTAGATCGGGAGGTGAGCAAACACATACCGGAGTTCGCTCACTTCTCAATCCTGTCACAGCTCTCCGCCGTGACAGGGGAGGGGCTGGATTCCCCCCTCCCTACTTCGATCCACCAGCGCTGACTGGCGGAACGGACGGAGGAGGGGGCGGGTACAGCTGGCTCTGCCTCTAGATAGGCAGATCCAGCTGTCACTCACGCAGCTGGGTGGATCCAGACATAATTGTAGGGATCCGCTTCAGCTGCGGTGTCTCAGTATACCGCGACAGTAGCTCGCGGTATACTGCGGCGTCTCAGTATACCGCGAGCTGTAGCTCGCGGTATACTGAGCTTAGGGTGATGGGAGGACGCTAGTTTGTGTCCTCCCGTTACACTAAGAAGAACTATGGGGAAAAGCCTTAACCCCATAGTTCTCCTTTAAGTCCCTGGACATACAGCACATGCCCCAGGTTAAGGTAAGGCTCAAGTGAAGAGACACTCTAAATATACATCCGACCCAGGAAGAGCCCAGAAGAAGAGAGAATCCCATGGAAAGGTGCCCCAAATATTGATCATCTTCCCAAACATATCTCTGAACTAGGACCTCATGGATTGGTTGAGTCATAACTAGGGATGTTCAGATATCAAGTAGTGTACTCAGTACAAACATGTACAGTTACTTTTCCAGCTCCAAGACTAGACTAGAGAAAAATAAAAAAGTTAGGAGGCAGCTGTCATTTGTAAAGAGCACACGGAGCTCCTGGGATTAGTACATCTCTGTTTTAATGTATGATTTTTTTCGTTAAAAATATATATAAGGGAATGCACCGATACAATTTTTTCAAGTACAAGTACTGATGCTTGTCCAAGTCCTCACAGATACAAGTACTGATACTTGTCCAAGTCCTCACAGATACAAGTACTGATACTTGTCCAAGTAATGCACCGATACAATTTTTTCAAGTACAAGTACTGATGCTTGTCCAAGTCCTCACAGATACAAGTACTGATACATTTTTGTTTATTGTCATGTGACAGTTTTTCTAAAACAACACAGACTAATGATTTCAGGACAGTGGTGGAGTGCCAGAGCCAGGTCCCAGCTACAACCGTTGCAACCCTGGTAGTTCTTGTGAAAATGCCAAGTGTCGGTACTGGTATCTGAACTGGTATCTGGACATCCCTAGTCATAACATCAACCCAATGAGATTAGGGAAGACCTGCAATGACCAGACAATGGTAATCGACCGCTCAAACTAAATATATCCTAACAAGAACAAACACTAAAACAAACACAGCAGAAGGCAGGGTCTCTACAAAACAAAGCACATACTTAATACAAAGTTGTGAAAAGCTACCATATTTCAGTGCTTGATGATAAAATTGCTTTATTTCAGTATCAAGAGAGAGTTATTGAACTGGATAGAGAGAAAGACCTTCTTAAAGAACATTATGAAAACCTCCTAAAAAGGTGAGAAGAGAAATCCTTGTAAGCTGAATGAGGAAACTACAGACAAAGTGAAAATCGGTGACCAGCTTCTTTCATTTATTCACAGTTCTCTGAATTTGGAGCGTGTGAACTCCTGGAAGATGGCAGAAGCAGAATTAAAGGCACAAATTACAAAATTAGAGGAACAAATTCAGTGCTATGAGTCTGGCCTGACACATAGCAAGGAGCAATTACAGCTTGCAAGAGGCAAGTTTTAATATATCATTAGTGCTGCCTCTATTAGGCTAACTCACATCAGCATCTTTTTTTATGCTATATGTTTAACAAACACCAGATTGAGAACACTCCAAAATGTCATACACTTTCCTTTTTTCCAAAATCTGTAATGTATTTCATGCTGTGCTAACTCATACTCTAAAGGTGCCCATATACTGTACGATTATCGTACGAGAATCGCGGGAAATCCCGCGATCGTACGAGAATCGCAAAGTGTATGGAAGGCGTGCAATGGTTTCTACTGTTCGGTCGAACAAGCAGGCTGGAAAACCCGCCGACAATCGTAAGATTGTCGGCGGGTTAGTGGCCTGCTTGTTCGACAACTGCCGAACGGGCCGGTGTGCGCACGCGCACACTGTCCGTTTGCAGTCATCGGAAGCCTGCCCCTCGTTGCAGTCTGATCGCAAGTACGATCTGCCTGTCCAAGATGGTCAGATCGTACGAGCTTTTAATAAGCTTACGACCATCGCAAGACAAAGGTCTTGCGATGGTCGTAAGGTGCCTACACACTGTACGATTATCGTACAAGAATCACAGGATTTCCCGCGATTCTCGTACGATAATCGTACAGTGTATGGGCACCTTAAAGGTGCCCATACACTTTACGACCATTGCAAGACTTTTGTCTTTTGATCGTACGATAATCGCAAAGTGTATGGAAGGCGTGCGACCGTTTCTACTGTACGGTCGCACGTCTTCCGTCGAACAAGCAGGCTGGAAAACCCGCCGAGAATCGTACGATTCTCTGTTAGTGGCCTGCTTGTTCGACAACTGCCGAACGGGCCGGTGTGCGCACGCGCACACTGCCCGTTCAGCATTGCAGTCATCGAAAGCCTGCCCCTCAGGGGGGTGGGCTTGCGATGATCGCAAGTACGGTCTGCCTGTCCAAGACGGGCAGATCGTACGTTTTTTAAATTACTTTACAACCTTCGCAAGACAAAAGTCTTGCGAGGGTTGTAAAGTGTATGGCCACCTTTATTAGATGTCAGACTACATTTTATACTAACAACACTCCTACTCCTTCTGGAGATCAAGCTGTCATCAATCAGTATAATGATTCAATAAACATTGTTTCATTATATCTAACATTAAAATCATTATGAAATCATTTTACCAGTTAGATCTGAGGACTATCATAGCATCTTACATATAGGCCATCTCATAACATTACTTTATAAAATCTTGTAACTAATAAAGGAGACACTAAAGTAAGAAATTATCTACTATAAAGTAACACAAATACATCTCAAATAAGACATTCAGAGTACCAGTGCAAATGAACAGGAAATCATCTATATAGCATATAAAAATATATAATGTGTTTCTTAAAGAGACTGCTATCTCCAAATCTGCGTGACTGCTTCCACCAGCCCATGTGCAAGTTTACCAGGGAGCTAGTGGGAGTGGTAAAAAGGGGGGAGAACATTTAGCTCCCAACTCAGCGCTGCATCTCTAGAGAGAGCGATCACCATCAAAAGAAAAAATATATACTGTGAGTTAATAAATACTCCAAAACCTCCATGATAAAAGTTTTGTGTGCAAAATCACTGTGATAATCCAAAAATATTTAACTGCCATTAGTCCCAATTTGTGTGGAATAGACAAGTACAAAGTTTGCACATCACATGTGATCCAAAACTCATCTTTGTTCCACTTAAAATCCTATTTAACTTTTAGCTGTTTTGTATGTCTCAGATAGCTTGGCAATTGAACAACCAGTAATTGCAATTAATAGGCCAGCCACTGACTCAATGGGGTTGATTTACTAAAGGTAAACAGGCTGTTCATTTTGCAAGGGAAGTTTCACTTTGGAACAAATTCTTCTCTTAGCTTAGTGAAGTAGGTGAAGCTCTGCTGACATCCATCATCCAATTATGTGCTACCACAAATACTGTTTGTTTTCTTATTTTCCTTGCATGTGATTGGGTATGCTTGCAAAGCATACTCATTTTTACCACATTGACTAAACTAAGAGAACATTCCCTTGCAAGGTGCAAATTCCCTTGCAAAGTGAGCAGCCAATTTGCTTTTAGTAAACCAACCCCAATCTCTCATTCCGAGACCCAATTCCTTATCTCTGTTGGTTGAACTTATCTCTATGGGTTGAACTTATTTCTATAGGTTGAACTCGATAGACGTGTCTTTTTTCAACCTGACTAACTATGTAACTAGAGATCTGCCTTCTAATGGGTTTAAACCCTTAAGGACCTTGGATAAATGGTGGACTATATAGGCATAATAGCATATTCAGGTACCAACATTTCTACTTCTTTTTTAGTCAGAACTCCCATGGAATCGCCTTTTTTCAGCCAAGGTTGCCTTAAACTCTTTGTAGGGTCTTTTTTCAGCATATCCGTGCATACATCAGAAAACTGCATATGTATCCCTTTGTTATACATAAATATATACTGAATACTATTGTACTCCTTTCTCATTCTTTTAAAAAATTGTTTGCTGCTGTGCAAAAAACAAAACAAATAAAAAACAAAGCAAACCTATAAGGAATGACCTGAATATTGTCATGTGTGTGTTAATATAAATTAGTGTGTAATGTTTTTAAAATCAGTTTTTTGTTTTTTACTTGGCAGACCAAAGTGAGCAGCTAAAACAAGATGTTTCCAGGCTACAGTGTCAGCTATTAGAAAAGATGCAAGAAATCCATGATCTTCAGGATAAAATATCAGTCCTTTCATCTTCTTCTACCAGAGAAGCATCTTGTGAACAGGATATGACCCTGCAGAAACCTCAGGTAAAAACGAAAGAAGAGTGAAAAATGAGGGTTCGTGCTGAAATGGTTCTACTTAGGCAGATCAGCAAATATCACCCATTGTACCAGCAAAGCTACTGAATGGGTCTGATCATTTTGAAAAAGTATTTTTTTTTTCCTAAACCTTGATTTAATGAAAATGTGTCACTGCCCAGGAATACCAGTCTGGTGCAGCAGGCATGCAGGCTCCTGATATATTACCACAAACTCATATGGCTGCCAGCAAAAAAATTGTTTTTCAAAAGGAAGGGATCAGAGAAACAGGCACCACCCCTCCCAAAACACCAACCATGTAGATTATTTTATGAGAAAGTAGGCATCCCATGCTGCTGTGTCATACTTTATAGCTTTGGGCTAATGATTTGTCCTTTTAGCCCCACTCAGAGTGCCTTCCATTTGCATACATAGAATACACAGGCCCCTTCACTAGTATCCCATAATGCACTGCCCTGCACTTGAGCAAGCATTCAGCAGGTCTGGGCATGGTCACATACCCAGAAAGCATGCAATTGAGCTGCAAGTTTGAAAATGACTTGCTAGACCATTGCAGACTTGCCAAGCTTCACAATTGTGTTGCAGCAAGTCTGCATTGCAAGTCTCCAGATCAACTTGATTTGCAAAAGTGCTGCACACTTGCAGAGCTCTTGCTAAGACCTGCAGGACTCTTGCTGTAGACTTGCCAAGCAAATTTGCTACAAATTCAAAAAGTGTCAACTAGAACTTGTGCTGCAAGTGTTCTGCAAGTCTACAACTTGCCAGGAATGTGTGCAGCAAGTTAACAAGAATTACAATTTAACCCTGCCACAAGTTTGTGGCAAGTTATCCCTGCTATCTGGGTAGGAAGCAGAAAGGGAAGAACCAAAAGAAAAGGGAAAGAGGGAAGCGCCACTAACCAGGAAGGAGTTGAGGTGGGCCGGGCCGTGGAGCTTGGTTGGTTGTGAGGGTGGTCCCACTCACTTGATGGTGATGGGGGGGCGAGTGGGTGTGCCCCTTCTCGGTATGGGTAATTGGGGATCACCGGGAGACACAAGGGGTACAAGCGATAGGTGAGAAATCACAAATGACAAACACAGTGTGGAGTGTAGAAACTAACCATTGAGTAAGGAAGGATGCGTTGTCATCGGCGACGGTGGTGATGAAGTCTTGCACTCAAGACTTTGCACCCAAAGTCCCTGCCACATCAGACACCCACTCGAGGTTTATTCTGAGCATTCGGGGAGCCAAGAAGCCTCACTCCCACTTCAAGGACAACCAGAACACCGGCACTGAACCCTCCCCAGTTCCTCATCACACTTCCATTGCTGACATCATACCTTCTCCAACCCCACGACCATCAGGAACTTAATCACCACCGTCGCCAATGACAACGCATCCTTCGTTACTCAATGGTGAGTTTCTACACTCCGCACTGTGTTTCCATCAACTCCTTCCTGGTTAGTGGCGCTTCCCTCTTTCCCTTTTATTTTGGTTTTTATTACATATGTCGGACACCCCGGTCCGTACAATCAGGAAGCAGCACACCAGCATCACCCATCACCCATAATCTTATACACACTTGTGTGTGGATTCTCCCTTCGGAGCGCTGGTCTTCTGGTCTGCCCTTACAATTTTTCAGAAAGGGAAGAGCATGCCTGAGCATATGCAAATACTATGAGAAAGTTGGTATCTACATGGACACTATGGAAGGCTCCTAAACTAAGCTAGAGGGGCAGATTTAAAATTTGAAGTATGACCCGACAGATAACATCACCTGCTCTCTGGCAAAGTTAGCACTTTACTTGGGTGTGTTTATTCATATACAATAGTAGTCCCCAAACTATGGCCTGCAAGCTGGTTAAGGCTCACTGGTTGCTGTAAACTGTCCACTGCAATGAGAAGGCCCTGCTTGCAGCACTTTGATTGCAATCAGAAATAGGGGACCAGAGTGGCAGTCGGGTGCTGGAATGCTGGTGACATGTTTTACCGGTGACTAAAAGAAACCCTTTGTCCTACCCATCCTGCTACAGTTGCTCATCTAATCTAATCTAATCGCAATCTAGGAATAAAAGACTACAATTTACAGATGCAGAATGAGGGAGTCATGTTGTGATTCCCTCATAGAAAAAGTGATAATGGATTTACATATATGCACTCATACCGTAGGATAATTTACCTATAGCTGATATGAACCCAGCAAACGGGACCTTGTAAGTAAATTGAGCATCCTCTAAACAAAGTCAGTAAGTAGTTTTTGATTATTTGTTCATATTAAGTGAAACTGGATGTTATCTGCTTGTTAAATTGTCATTATGTACCCATGAAGTAAGAGGAACAAAACTGACTATGTATTCACCTAAAGTAGACTCACATCCCAGAAGACTATTGGATATTGAAGAAAATGTTCCGTGAAAAAGAGGATTTCTGGAATACACACCGAGAGGGGAAGAGACAGGCAGAAGCGGATGAGAGGAGCCAGGTACAAGCTGAGACAGAGGAAACTGGAAGATGCAGAGATTTCAGAATGGAGGTAGAGGAAGAGGAAAGGAGAAAGCCAGAACAGGAGACAAAGAGGAAACTGTTGGAGATGGATGCTGCTCATGCTGAGACTATATTAGAACTTGAGAAAGTTCAGGAAATGCTGATTTTGCAGCATCAGATCAATAAAGATTATCAGGTAAGTAGAAAATCTGAGACATTTTGAAATAAAAAAAATACAAAAATATAACATTGCTTCTTATTAAACACTGGTTGGCCAAATGCTCGTTTTTTTAAAGATTTAAAATAGAATTTCTGACAAAATTTTGCTCTCCCTGAATAGATTGGGAACGAGTCAAATATTTATTGCTCTCTGGGCCCCGTTGAAGAGATTCCATTTTACTTCATGTGTAGTTACTGCATCAGGAAGTTAGGTGAACAAGTTCAGTAAACATTCCTGACCATTGCACCATCTTTTAAATCTTAAAGTCATATGTGCTATGAAAACATTTCTATTCCTATGCACCATGCTACTATCTCACTATACACTTCATCCACTGCATAGTAATATTCTAAGTGACTGGGTCCAGAGAACTACAAGAGCCAACCTGTAAGTTATAGCTGTTATGTTCCTATATCTGCAAAATCATAGATGTACCCCAGGTCTTTAGAGCTATTGTACGTATCCGATCAGACTCCTGACCAATGGATCCCAAGGAGTCTGTAGTGGGTGCTGTGGTGACAAGCGTGTGGCGGAGCACTCAGAACAACGAGAAGAAGAGTCACCGGCTTTCTGGACTGTGATTCAAACATGTCTTTATTGATGCTTGCTCACATTATCACAAGGCATGCCTTGTAGTAATATGAACAAGCGTCACTAAAACAGGAAAATTGTATTTCATACTTACCGTAATTTTCCTTTCCTGTCCAGCTCCATGGCAGCACAAGGCCATTCGTGTGCTGCCATGGAGCTGACAGGAAAACAGGAAAATTGTATTTTATACTTACCGTAATTTTCCTTTCCTGTCCAGCTCCATGGCAGCACACGAATGGCCTTGTGCCGCCATGGGGCTGACAGGAAAGACATGTTTGAATCACAGTCTGTAGTGCCGGTGACTCTTCTTCTCCCAGGTCAGTAGAGGACACAATAGTGATGTGGGGATCTGTGGGAGGAACCATGGCTTTCAGAGGGAGCCACTCTGTCCCACACACCTGGAAGTGTCACATAGCAATGGCACCTGGAGTTCTTCAGGGGAGCAAAGATGTAACACACACCAAAGCTACCTTGGTCTTATTTTTTTTTTCTTTGATAACAAGATCCTCTTACAGTACTAGGCAGTTAATCATGATACCTTCAAATTGTTCCTGATCTTTTTCCACATATTGTGGCAATATATAAAGTATAGGAAGATGAACCATTTCATGACCTATGGTCATGTATCCCATCTGGACCTTAGCCATTTTCAGGGCTCATTCACGCATTCTGCATTATGCTTTATTTTACTTTGCATGAAAATGCAAGTTAATGTAGAAACCAATGCATTCAAATGAGCATTGTTCACACATACATACTGTGCTGTGATACTAAGTGAGAAAATCTCATGTACTGCATTTTTGGGACTCACAATGCATCCAAATTACCACATTTTCAAAATGCAGCTCAGTGTATTTGAAAACGTCTGGCTACAAACTTTGCTTTTTTTTCTTTGGGATAACAAGCCCCTTTTTTTAGTGCAATTGCCTTTCTAGAATTACTTCTTCTTTTTTTTAAGTATTGTAAAGGTAAAAACTACAAAAAAAGTTTTCCATTGGCTCTGGCTGTTTTAATGCGCTTTCATGGTGAGATCAAAGAACAATACCCGGTAAATACAAAGTTGTTTTTCTGCTGTTTCCTCCTATATTACTGTATGATTTTCCCATCAATTACCAGGAAGAGCTGAAGTCAGTGAAACTTAGAGCAGAAAGTGAAAGTCGCGAAAGAGAAGAACTTGAGCACCACTATGAGGCCAAACTGCTTAAGCGCAGCTCCAGAATCCAGAACTTGGAAGGTATTAGGTCCAAATTTTACTTTTGCATTTCTACGAGCCTACTCCAAAAAATTGGATAAGAGAAAATGACCTAATGAACTAACTGGAATTTTAATTCATTGTGGCCAATGAGGTTTCATATTTTGTTTGAGGAACAATAAAATTCTGAATGGTTGCCATTGATTTCAACTCTAATTTTCTTATCCTGTAGTCTTCAATAATCAGCTCCTGTGTTTCTGTTAATGCAATTATTAAATATAAATGGTATTATGTCAAATCAATAGTGATACATACTAATACAGTGTAAAGAATTTAGGCCCCTTTCACACTGTCCGATCAGGGGGGAATCCATGCATTGATCCCCTCCTAATAGGAATGGATGTCACCACTGTGACATACGTGCCTGTGCAGTTTTTTTTCTCCATCTTGTGATGGAGGCAAAAACTGACATTACCAAATCCATGTTAGTCAACCCCCGAAACGGCACGATCAGGTCCAGTGAAACTGATCCCTGATCCGCTTTTTTTCCAGACCTGGCTGGAGGCATGGGTAACCAAGAATAAACGTATGCCTGCCCATTTACATACGGCTGTCCATAGACTAACATCGGGCTTCAAATCAGGTCCGTCTGTAATACTGACAGGCAGACCCGACCCAAAAAAGCCTATGTGAAAAGAGCCATATGCCAATCAGGTGTGTTGCATGTTCTGACAAGGTAGCAGTAATATGCCTTATCAGTCAGTTGCTTCTCTTTCACTGTCCAGTCATAGACTGGGGGCAGGAAGGTGGCCTAGGAGGGTAGAGAAAAGTCAGTTAAGCAGCCGGGTTATGCTGTCTTGCAGAGCTATGTTAATTTCTTGATTGGCTGAACAGTTACAGCTATTTTTTTAACTATGTATTTAGCAGTTTGTCAGGAATTCAGCTTAAGCATTTTCCTCATCATTTCGTCTTAACCTGATTAGCTGCTCAAAGCATTCATAGATTTGATATTCTGGTGAACATTACATAATTTGTACCTTAGTGTGTGATCTTGGTTTAACTCATAAATAAGTGATTTATTTTTTGTGCATTTGATATGATATATTGCTCTCTTTCAGCTCAGCTAAAGGACATTGCATATGGTACAATTCCATACAGACATAAGGATGAAGAGTCCCCCTCTCCTGAAGTTAGTCCTTCTCCACCTCCCACTCTTCAACGTGGAGAAACTCTGTTTGAGATTCATATTGGAGGGATCTGCTTTTCAGCACACGGAATAAGGGTTGTAGATGATCCTCAGCCAATCACCTTCTGTATATATTCCCTGTATGACTTTGAGACACATGCAACCCCTGTTGTGACTGAAATCAGACCACAGTATAACTTTACTTCTTGCTATGCGGTAACCCCAGATCCAGAATTTCTGTGCTACTTGAGATTGGGCACTGTAACAGTGGAGCTTAATCAAGTCATAGGTGGGGAGCACCGTGAGTTGGCACGAGGACGACTAAGGTTGGACACAGTTCTGCAGAGCACAGACAGAGTTCATGGCACTGTAATGATGACAGGTAAATGTTCATACATTGTGGTACAAACTGATTTCTATTGCCTTGGCTGCCAAAAGCAGAATGTATTTTACTTACTATACAAATTATTACTTGCCAGTTGTATATGATTGCTGAGGCCACGTTCCATCGATTTATAATACCAATCAATGGGACCCCAAGTGCTCTATAGGAACAATCAAAAGTACTAATCTACCAGCAGGGCTAGGCAGCTGATACTGCAGCATAAACTGTCTGCATATGCCTTTTTTCCCTTCCATTTGTCCCTAAAGCATGGCTCAGAGCTGGCCCAAAGTGGCTATAAATATAGCAACTTCCTTTTTTATTTGGGACGAAGATAATACAGCATCTGGCTTCCTGGGAACACGTGTTGTCAAATAGGAGAATTATCCATATGACTCCATTAAGGTTAGATCTCTGACCGCCTCTACAACAAGGGGGGAAACAGTGTTGTTTAGACCTATTGTCCAGGTCTGAGGCCAAGGTGAGCAGCACTATATTGGGTGTTCACACAGTGGTCATCATCTGGTGGTGGAACAACTCCGGATTATTTGTGGCCCTTTCTATTTGGACTGATTTTTGTATTGAGATATATATGAACTCTTATACACTGGCATTGTGAATGGAATTCCTTTTTTTTGATGCACATACTGTTTGATAGAGTCACGTTGGTTGTATTTATATATTGTTTGGCTTTAATTTTGTGGTTTGTTCACATTCAATATCATACTTGTGTCATTATTTAGGATACCCCGGCACATACATACTTGCATTTGATATAGCAACTTCCTAGTGGTGGCTATGCATAGCTGGAGGCCCCCTGCCCATGTAAAAATGAGCAGGACTGCTGAGAGGTCATTCAAGTCTAGGACATTTTACTATTTTTTTTTACTTTGAAGCAAGCATGCAGCTAGTAAAATCATAGTGAAGTTAGAACTCCTCATCCGTATACGTGTTCCAGGTTCACAACTCAGAAATTATTTAAACTATTGTCCCGGTTGAACTATTGGAAAAGCCAAGCAACAAACATTTTTTGAAAGGAATAATGAGGTATGGCAGCTAAAAAAGAGTTTAATAAACCCGTTACATTTCTATGAGGTTGATTTAATAAAGGCAAATAGGCTGTTCACTTTGTAAGGGAATTTTCCCCTAGCTGAATGAGGTGAAGCCCTGCCTACTTTCATCATCCAATCATGTGCAAGCAAAAATACAGTTTTTTTTAAATTTTCCTTGCACAATATTGGAACAGACTTTTAACCTTTTAGGCCTCATTCACACGAGAAAAGGCCGACACGCACAGCTCCGTGCTGCATGCGTGCGGCCGTATTGGGCAGCTCCCGGGAAGGAGAGGTGCTGCTTGTGATTAGTACGCAGCCCCTGTCCTTCTCTATGGGAGTAAGCTGCCATATGCCACTCTACGCTCACCCGCACGGACGTGCAGGGCAGGTGAGCGTAGGGCAGCATATTGCCGCGTGCTCCCATAGAGAAGGACAGGGGCTGCGTACTAATAACACGCAGCACATGTCCTTCCCAGGGGCTGGCCGATATGGCCGCGCACACAGCATGGAGCTGTACATGCCGGCCATTTCTAGTGTGAATGAGGCCTTAGTAAATCAACACCTATATCTTTATAATTGTTCTAAGCCCGTACATTACCATGACAGCCAGGCAAATAGTGTTTTCGCAAGAAATGGTCTTTAATGACAGCTACCATGACGCTCTCATGACAGGTTTAATTCAAAGTATGTGTTGTCATCTATTTGTTCTTTCTGTTAGTTTGGTATTTATTTTTAGTTTTCCCAGATGGGTTTGCCCTAATGCAAAGCAGTTAATAAATTTCACATTCAAATTCTGTTTTTACTATTATACTGATCAGATTATCTTTCAGTATTTACATTTTGAGATTTATTTACCCCTTAAAATGGGCATTTAAGATTCAAAAAACAACCCCTGCCAATTTTTTAGAAAAGTTCACAGACATACACTATAACAGGGGTAGGCAACCACGGGATTCCAGCCACCAAACTACAACTCATGTCATGCCACTGCCCCTGGGAGTCATGCCTGTGGCTGTCAGAGTTTTGCAATGCCTCATGGGATTTGTACTTTCACCAAAGCTAGAGTGCCAAGGTTGCTTACCCCTGTATATGCCACAACTGAGGCATATTGCATAGTAGATGGATGCACCATCTGGCCTGCTTATCTGTTCCCCCTACTATACTCTTACTGTGTGTTAAAAACACAAAGGGGAAATTTCTCAAGACTGGAGCAGACACAATCTGGAGCTGTTGCCCATAGTAACCAATCCGTTTCTATCTTCAGGTTGTTTAGTTAGGATTTTGATAATAAAAATAGAAGCTGATTGGTTGACATGGGCTACTGCTCCAGATTCTGCCTTCTCCAGTTTTCATACATTACCCTCATAGTTTAGTAAAGAGTAGTTCATGTATATCACTGAACAATAATAACAAGAAAAATTACACAAAAATACTGTGGAAGTAAAAACCAGAAATATCTGTTAAAATATTATGAACATTGTTGCTTCCTTAGATGCCACTGGGGAAAATATAGGAGAGCTGGACTACTGGTTGAGGCAGCATGGACCCCTGTCACGGACTCAATGTCTGAAAAGGCAAAAAAGTAAAGCCAAGGTTTATTTATCTACTCGCAGAATCACTGGGCTAGGAAAGGTAAGCAGCATAATAGTAACCAAGAAAAACATGATAAACTTATAAAAATAATAATATAACAGCATTTATTATCACTGATTGTCTGCAGTTAATGTGCACACTGGCATAGACCATTTGCTTATACGATTTTCTATTTTCCAGGCTTGGGCACCACAGGTAAACAATGGAAATCATAATGCATTGATCATTCGTATCTGGGGTTGTAGAAGCCTAAAAACAAGCACTCTGGGCCATCAACCAAGTCCATATATAGTCTATCGCTTTTATCATCACCCAGACCACTCCAGTAGTATCATACCCTGTAGCAATAACCCACAGTTTGGGGATGAAGCTATCTACCCTGTTCACTTGACAAATGATCTAGAACGCTATCTGAAGAAAGAATGTCTCTATATTTATGTGTTTGATGATGAAGAGACCCAGCCCGGAAGTTACTTGGGGAAGGCAGAGGTACCACTACAGAGCCTGACACAAGGTTCCAGTATTCAAGGTAAGGGCTTCATACCACATTGCATTTATATAAATAAAACTTTAAACCAATAACATGTTCTATTTCCTTTTTACAAAGGTGATTTTGCACTCATAAGCCCATGCAGTAAATGTTCAGGGTCAGTGCAGTTAAGTTTGGAATGGAAGTTTCCATATCATGCTCCAGGAAAGAGTCTTTGGGACTCAGTCACCAGTGGCCAAGTCATTCGGAGAAAGCTTCAAGAGGTTCCATTTTCAGAGGTAAGAGGCTTTACACAGGATCAATAAATATATCCAGCGTAAAGCATATCTAAACCCAAAACCAAAAATGTCATATATTGCAGCATACCAATCCTTAAATGTGGTGACTGTATTAGTTTTATTTCTTTATGTTTTTTTCCCTTTATTATCACCGGGTGATCCGGCCAGCGACACTCTTCCTGTCTTAGGGTGGCTCCACTCCTTGGAGGAGCAATGGAGCCAACCTTAGACAGCAACATTGTGACCTTGTGGAGAGGGCTGTGTTGGATGTAATAGAAGATTTAAATGGAAATCCAAACTCCAGATAATACTTTCTAAGCAGTTACAGCAACAGTTTTACGTTTACCTTTTGGGATAAAGGTTTTACATAAATGAATAAAAGCTGACTATTGTAAGCCCCCCAGTCAGTGTTAAATGGTTTGTCTCAACCCTCTAACTGGCACTTTTCATGGACAGCTTGGTCTGTTGAAAGAAGACAGGACACCCCAACCAGAGATTTAGATTTTAATTTGAATAGAATCTAGAGCATCTTCAGAGGGTCAGGTCTAGCTGTCACGTTGATAGTTGGGTGCCAGTTATCGTCCCAGGCTTCATTCATAAATACGTTGTAACAACATTATCATCAAGTTTTTTTAACATGCAGATAAAAGTGATGTAAAAAATTCATTTTTTAACAAAAAGTGGTTTCTTGTAAACTCTCATTAACGTTAGCTGTAATCATCCCTAATTACGTCCTTTCTCCCTTTAGCTTATTTTAGTGGTAATCATTTTTATTTTTCATATATAATTTTTTTTTTTCATTTTTGCTTATTTGTTTAACCTTGCATTAAAAATGCATTAAAGTTTTTAAAGCCTTTACTTCCTTTTGAAATATTTTTGCCATTCTTTTGTACTAGGACATAAATTTAGAGGGTTATTCATAAAGTTGCTGAAGTGAATAACCGAGTGAATAACCGAGCCGAAGTGAACAGAGCCGAACACTGTTCGGCTATTCACTTTCGCTCAGGATGGCTGATTTCAAAGGTACAACGGCTAAAATTAGCCGTACATCGGCTTGCTTCGGCTGGCTTCGGTTCAGCTTCGGTCCAACATCTGGATCGGCTGAGCCGAAGCTCCAGCAGCTCACTTGCTACCGTTCGCCCCTAGTCACATAGGGCCCGAACAGCAGTGAGTGAATAGCCGAATGTCGACGAGTGGCATTCAGCTCGACTATTCTGCTCGGTACCTCCATGGTACCGAGCAGAATCGGAAATCAATAGAAAAAGTTGGGAAAAAATAAAAAGTTTAAAAAAATATTTTACAAATGTATATAAATATTAGATTTTTAAAAAAAATAGGGATGCAGCGATATATCGGCCGCCAAAACATATCGGCCGAAAATTGCACTTTTGTCTTAATGCCGAAAGTGCCATTTTCCTGCCGATACATCGGCGCATCCCTGCTTTCTTTGCTCCCTGCGGGGCGCTGCTCTGTGTCCCAGCGGGGAGGGGAGAAAGTGTGACGGCCGGCCGAGCGCTGCGGGAGGAGAGCGCTGTGAGCGGCCGTCGTCTCTCCTCCCACACCGCTCAGCCTCCTATCAAAGTCCGGCAGAGCGGTGTGTGGGCGGAGACAATCCACGCTGTCACAGGAGGCTGAGCTCTCCTCCCTGCATCGCTCGCTCAGCCTCCTGTGACAGCATGTCAGAGAGGAGATCGGTTACACGCAGTCAGTGATCGCTGAGTGTTTGTAGATAATTGAGGACATGGTATGGTCACTATATCCTCAATTATGAATGAATGGGAAGTGATCTACATCACCTCCTCTTCATTCATAGTTGTAGTTATAGTAAACATACTCTGTCCTCATGTTATCAATGAACAGGAACACTCAGTATAGAGGATTCCTGTTCATTGATAACAGGGGA